AAACAGTAATCTAAAAAATAAAAAAAAAGCTAACAAAAATCTTTACTATCTTGAGAGTTGGAAGAACTTCGATGGCGCACCTGACGATTCAAATGCGAGAGAGCCTCCTTCTAGAAAAGACGAGAAATCACGTTTACACCGCAAACCCAAAAGTAAAATATCCCCCCCCCCCCCCCCAAAAAAAAAAAAAGAGAGAACCGAATCTTTTATGTACGATTTCAAGGAAGAGTACGCGAAGACGATGGTACTTTAGTGCTTCCATAAGACGTGACTGGGGATAGCACGTGAAAACGAAAATTCTGTGTTACCGAATTTCGGAAATGCAACCGACGAGAACAGAATGCCATAAAATTGACCTCGTAGCAAGTCCGTAAGAATGTCTAGTACCGATTGAAAGGAGAAGAGAAGGATAGAAAAAAATCGCGGAAATCAGTAGAAAGTTAAAAAAGGGGGGACAGTTCTCGGCTTGGCGATTTCATAGAAGGCTAGCTGTGCGCACCAAGCTTAGGAAGATTGCGCATAAAATTTGGCACAAATCTACCAACGATGAAAACAGAGAGCAATACGAGGGCTCCTCAAAGATTAATGTGACACATTTTCTTCTCTCCCAAAAAATACATTTATTAACTTGAAAATTTACAGTTTGCAACATTGATGTTTGCTGGATACATGTGGGTAATTTTACGGCCGTTACATAAAGGACGCTGTTCTAATAGTCCGTGAACAGGGTGTTTGTGCCCGACTTGCGTCGCAAGAACTAGCTGCAATTGAGCTGAAGAAAGCAAAATATTGTGGGAAAAATTCATAACAGTCTGCGGGCTGTGTATTGAAGTTATACGGTACGAAAGTGCTCCAATAACGTGTTTGGAGCATTGGAATGCAAGGAGGGGCACACCAGTCGAACGGCAACGCAGGGAACCAACCGTCATTGGTTAAGGTTGGAGGCGAACAAAAGCACGTGGAAGCATTTAAGGAGTAAACAAACGAGCAAAGTGTCAACCTGCTTGTAGGCTGTATACAACGTATAGAAGAACGGTTAAATGCTGGGTGAAAAGAATTAAAGCTCCAGGAGGAGGAAAGATGGTATGCTTGATTGGTCGCAGTCGGAGTGTGCTGCTACTGCCACCAATCCATACCTTGCTGCGGAGTGCCGATATATCTGTTCTTGCGAATTGGCGCATCGCGAGCTGATAATGGGCCTTAGAGCTTTCAGTCAGCAAAGGATGTGTATTGTCAATTATCGGGTGCGGCATAAGGGGAATCGAAGAGAAATGCTCTCCAGCTTGGAAATGCCCGCCCTCCCAAAAGCCTCGAACACGGGAGGCACTTGCCAATGTTTGCTGGACCCTACCATCCTATCCCCCTTATAAGCCTTTGTTGGCACCATCAGATTTTAATTTCTTCTAATGGATGCACTGCGCTAAGCAATGTTTGAAAATTACAATAGCATAATTCTTGGAGTGAGAACGTGACCACAGAGCGGATAACAAGCTGGTACAGGAAAGGCACGCATGCCCTTGTCTCACCCTAGCGTAAAACCGGAAAACGGAGAGAATGGCCCTAAAATATTTTTGAGAAACAACAAATGTGGTGCTTTCCTTTTTGAGGAACCCTCGTACAAATTCAATGAAAGCAAAGCAAATAAAATTGCAGAAAAGAAATCAGAAAGTAAATATGTTGTGTGCAAACTTTGGAAGCTGTGAGTTAGTGTGTGCCAATGAGCGTCTGGTGTTTTTGTCGTATGGGACCGGTGGAGTACCAATGTTAACCTGTGCTGTTTAGAGGGTTACTGAACCGAAATTTAGAATTTCGCAAATGAAGGCATCAGAAGCACTGAACGGGACGCTACGAACTCCAAAACATCACTCATACATCGATATCTCAAACGGATGGCCGTAATTGTGAAACATAAGGGCGCGGTAAAGCGAGGATTATGAGGTCACGATCCTCCTGGAACAATTGAAAGTGAGGGTATGCGGCTTCGCTTCGGTTCACCTGCTTGGGGGGACGAAGCGAAGAAGAGAGGGAATGAGAATCGTGACGTCGTAAGTCTCGTCGGCCGTGCTCAATGGCGCGATTTCCAAAAATACGGCCATTCGTTAAGAGACATCGCCATATGAGTGATGTATATGGGTTTTGCAGCGTCCCGCCTATCGCTCTAGCCTTGTTTTGTGAGCTCCACATTTCAGTTCAGCATCTCTTTAACGTGCATCGCGCAGTAGCGATGCACGACCGTATGGCGGTACGATGGTAATCCGGATCGAAACGGGCAGGGGTGGGGTTTGAAGAAGGAATGAGAGAAAACAGACGAGAAAGGCGAAATGTGCGACGGCGGTTCGATTGTGCGGAAAGAACAATATGGCGAAAAAAGCAAAACGAAACCAATGTGTCTAGACACTAATGGATTTTGCCGAGTTGGAACGTAAAATGCTGGTTCTCCCTCCCGTTCTTTATTGTCTCGTGCGTTACCATCCAACCCGTAATTTGGGAGACTGGTGACGGATATGTGTTTTCAGTCGAGGGGCGTACCGTGGCCGAGGAGCGTCGGAATGGAGGGGAATCGAAGGTGGTTAGCGACATGCCGCCCGCACAAAGAGCGAGGGATCGTTATATCACGGTGTTTATCTAGGATGCGAAATTAGTGCAAACTTGTGCACGTCAAGTCCTAATTTCGTGGTCGTTCGATGATAAAAATCTTAGCAGAGCAGTTCAATAAAAAAAAAAAAATGCGAACGAAGAAGCAGAGCATAAAAGGTAAGTTTCATGCGCTCTTATTTATTATTTGAATGACTCATGTGTGCAAAGTTTATTAAACTAAGAAACATCTTTTGGGTGTAAAAATTGCAGCAACACAGGTTTACCTCTTTTTATGAACATTCTATAGAAATCGTTCTTGAGTATGTGCGCAAAACCCACAACACGTACGCAAAATTGCCTCTCAAGTTGAATAGTTCTCGTAAGATAAGTTTCGTCTCAATATATCTTCGCCGATTTCCTATCTTCTCCCAGAGGGAAGGCTATGCCCCTAAAATGCGGTTCCGGCCGGTATACCAATTCATAATTCATTCTGGCGTCTGATTTCCTATTTGATCATTTCGTTTTATACGAGCTCCACTGAGATAAGTTCCGGCACGCGATATAAGTTTATTCATCGTCATACCCGGAAAACGGGTTCCACTCTCCAAACCGCGGGAATCCATGATCGATTGAGATTGAAAAGCCGCTCGCTTAAATATAGATGATGAATGAATTAATAATATTGAAAGAAACATGGGTGGAGAGTGATCACTTCAAAGGAAGGCTTTAACTGTGACCCTTATATTCTGATCACCTTTAAAATACCGTTTCGGCAGATATGAAACTACACCGAATCTAATGTTAGCTTTTTTTGTTTTTATGAAATACAAATATGCTTTTGTGGCATTATCCTCATGTTGATCGAAAACAAAAACAACAGGCGGAAAGTTTTGGCACTTTCTCTGGCCCACGTCTTTTTAATGGTCTAAATATCAGACAATTACCATCACACATGCAAGAATTTATCTGGATGCCTGTCGGATGATGAAATGTAATAGCTCTGCTCGCGATATCTCGGCCGTCTGAAAGAATCTAAACCATGAATCGTTCGTTGAAAGTAGATGTAGAAGGGATTTTGAATTTTCTACTGAAATTCGTCGATATATAAAGGACATCGGCAGCCAGCTGCTACAGCATAATCAGTATCTCTCTATTAGCATACCATCCATTCTACACGGTCTCACCATTTATGTTTGTTTTTGCAGGATAGAAACTTCACATGGTCTATGGTATTTTAAGGTCAACATGAAAAATGAGACATTCTCCATTCTTTAGTGTTCAAGTGTTCGAAGTTCCATACGCTTATGTTTGTCTGGGCTGACCTCTTTTACAGTAATTAAGACGGAAAGAGGAACATAAAAATGAAATATTGCTGAGTACTTTCACCGTACTTTAATTTTCGGATCCCCTTTGCTTGAGTTAACCGATGCTTTTGTAATGGTAAAAGAAGCACCCTTCTTTCGGTAGAGGAAATAAAAAATAATCACGAGGCAAACAAATAAAATAAACATACAACACAGAAAAGTCTGCAATTGAATTCGAAACCGTGACGCGGTTTGTCGCTTTTGCTTTTTCTCTGGTTTTTCGCTCTTACAGTGCTCGAAGATCACGAGTCCCTTTGTCTGTTTAGTTATTTAAGTCATAATTGTGCGTACAGCGGATGATGAAATGTAGTAGTCCTGCTCGCGATATCTCGGCCGTCTAAAAGAATCGAAACCATGAATCGTTTGTTGAAAGTAGACGTAGAGGGGTTTTGAATTTTCTGCTGAAATTCGTCGATATAAGAAGGACATCGGCAGTCAGCTGCTACCTCATAATCAGTATTTTTATATTGGTATACCATCAATTGTATTCGGTCTCATCGTTTACGTTTGTTTTGAAGGATAGAAACTTCACGTTTTATGATATTTTAAGCTCGACATGAAAAATGATTTTCACAAAGGTTGATTTCTTCTTTTTGGTTTAGCGTTTTTTGAAAGAACTGGGAAGGAGCTACTTTGAAAGGGGATATTATTCGCAATAGACAGGCAAAAGAAAGTGACCCCACAGGAAACTCAATAAAAAGTCCCTCATGTCGACGAAAATGTGTAAGTCTTGCAGCAAGAGCTGCTGGTGAATATCTTCACTACCAGAGTATGCTTTACAGTGTAAGCGACTGCAAAGCCAGCCTTCGTTTATTTGCAGGTCGCTACACGACAGGCAACAAACAAATTGAGCAGAACGTACTTTGATGACAAACAAAAACAATGATCTGCTAGTTCATAGGCTACGTTTAGACGGATGCGACCGAAGTGCGTGAAACTGAGGGGGAACCGATCAACGAGCACAAACATTCCCATCTCTCTTCTATACAATCATACGTGTCATATCCCGATGCGATCCGCTACGGTGGTCGTGTCCACAACAGGCTAACTGCGACTCACCGCGTCAGACGTCGACTTCAGTGTCCCGCCTCGTGTTCCAAATCGCCCGGTTCTAGGGGGGCGTCCTCGTTCAATCCTGGCTAAGCTCCCAGTCTAGTCCAGCGTGCGGCCGAAGTCCAGTCTTTGCGGTAATCCATGAAGGGCTTCAGCGATTCCTTCACGTCGGCGTCAACCGAACCAGTGCCGTGAAAAGGACGCGGAGGGATCGACGAATCTCGGCCGGCGCACGTGATCGCAGCGAGAGACGTGACGAGTCCGAACTCACTCCGACGAAGTGACTCTGCAAACTGACACAGCGAAGGGCCCCGCAAAATGGTCCGCGCTCCAGAGTCGGCGGAGGAACGCGAACTCCGCTCTTCCCATTGGCTGGCCGGGATCACGTGGGAGAGGGGGATTGCGGCGTCGAAGGGAAAGGGAGCGGAGAAACAGTTGGGAATTCGGGTGAGAGGGGAAAATAGAGGCGGAGAGTGAGAAAGAAAGAGAGTGTTGGGATTTTTTCACGCCGGGTCGCAGTCTGAGTCGCGCGTCGAAACGACAGTTTATCTATTTTGGTGGGAGGGGGCGTAACTGTTCTTTTATTTCATGCAGTTTTGTTGTTGTGGTGGGCAGTTGAATGGTCTGGTTTGTGTTGAACTTAATTAGAAGCGAAAAAGAGGTGTGTGTGTGTGTGTGTGTGGGTGGGGGGGGGGGGGGGAGAAAGTATCATTGACGTTTATTCAGGTAAGAGATAACCAATAGATATACTTCCTCTGATAGGGAAACGTGTGGTTCATCCTACCGAGCGTCCCAGATTAGAAAGAAAGTATACGGTGCTCTTTAATCCCAATAATAAACTACGTATCACCGAACGCTAAGTTTCCGCTTAAATGTAGGGCTAGCGGTAAGAACGAGAAGTCAGTGTTTCAGAACTAACCGTTGTCATAAGTTGTAAGCCATTTTCGGTAATTTTCAACGGAAAAATTGCTGCCCACAAAGCTATATAACGGATGTATGGTGCTGAATGACTGAAACTGCCGATAACGGGTCCAGTTGTTTCATTTAAGGTTTTAGGAAATTATAAATTTCGATTAAGATAACGGTTATATATGAAATTTTTGCATCTCGACTGGACCGCTGCTACATTTGGGAGGAAACTAAACATTTGGCAATGCCTACTTTACTTTTGTGATAAAAACAAGAAAAAAAATATTCTGTGTGTGTGTGTGTGTGGTGGGGGACACACGCACATGCATGCTATATTTGGTCGTGAAATGAACAATAGAAATGCTGGGGAACTATGATATGTCGTTTCGGTTTTTTGGTGTCGTCTTGCCTAATATGGAGGAGCAATTCAGCCACAGAGTTTAGACGTGCGCTCTATTTTCTCTGGGCTGTTATTGCTGTGCAACTTGGTTATGCGGACGACCGGGGTTTGGGTTCTGTGTTTCCGTTCAGCAGCTTTCAATTATTGAGAACTATTGCTAAGCTCTAAAGAAATATATTTTAGATTTTTTTTCTTCATATGTTGAAATTAAAGTGGTCATGTTTACTTTCTAGTCGAGGACACGTGCACGCTTGCTGCCTCCAGATACGTTGATAAATATAATCTATAGGTGATTAAGAAAGCGAGGCTTGCATCAGTGCAGAACATTCTATCGATGCAGGACAGATCGGCATTTCACCATCCACCTACACCATCAGACTTTGCCATAACACCGATGCAAAGACAAAGACACCACCGTAGAAGAAGGAAGAGACAAAAATTCTGCTTCTCAGTGGTCTTAGTCTTAGTCACCTCTGAAGGAAATGCGTACAACGCCTGGAAATGTTTAGAGCACGCCCCTATTTTGCTAACAGATTTAAACTTTTTGGCATTTTACAATTGCGGCTGGATTAAGTTACTGAATTAACTAGAGGTCTCACTTTTATGTCACTGACATAACTAGCGATTTTTCAATAATGAAAAGTGTTCAGACCAAGTAAATTTTTTTCACGGTACCTTCATAATAAGTACAAGATAAGTGCACATTATAGGGCAATGTGCTATGAGTAGAATCATTTATATTATCATTTTTGAAGTTTTATAGAAACATTTTAAATATCACGAGATAAAATACGTAGAAGGGAAATTAGCATATCTCTAAACATTGGTGCTTTTTACAAATTGCTACGTCCCTCGAATCGCTCTTAGTTTTTTATACCTCAGAAGCTGTTACGAAATAATTTTAGCAGACAAGGCTTATATTAGGTTTTATTATTGTTTTCTTTCAAAGTCTCAAACTTGCTACCCAGAACAAGGTTTTTCTCAGATTGGAATCTATGTAAAGAATGAACCACCAAGAACTACTACATTAAACGAACAAAAGTACATAGCTACGATCGTAAGCCACTTTGCGCTATATTGCTTGTGGTGGTAATATATATAAAATAAGTTTTATCCTGCTAAAAACATGCTAAAAACCTATACTTCTGTGATATTTAAGGAAATTCACCGAAAACATCAATTTTTAAATTTCTTTTAATACTTTTGCATCGTTTGCTGATACGGTTGAACATCACGGAATATTAATATTCGTCAACATGTTTTCTGTATTCTCGCAACAGCCAGTTAAATCAGCCGCTTTTTTGTTTTTAAAGACTTAGAACCTAAGGTACAGTTAATTTTAGTTCAGTTAAGCTTTTTCTTTTCTCAACCCAGTGTTGAGGGCTCCAAAGAAAGAAAACTATCAGAAGGAGCTTGAGTATGCTAGTTTGCTACACAAGTAACAGCGTTTCAGCAAGAATTTATACTGGCACACTTGCTGATAAAAAAAAGAAAGATGTTTATATGTTTGGGATTGCATAAGTTTGACTATACCTTGGCTTCTGCAATGCAAGTAACTGACACTCCAGAGGTTGGCTTTCCCAAAATCCCGAGGTAGCAAAGTTTCTTTGAGCCAAAACTTGATTTTAGTTCGGAATTTCGGGCCTTAAAGAGCCAAAAGAAGCCAAGGTAAAGTCAACCTTGACCTTTTTTTGTCCAGACCCTGCAGCTGTCTTGGCCCCAATGCGCCAAGAAAAGTCAAAGTTGGGCTCCACCAATTTTAGTTTGACTTTTATCTTGCATCTTTGGGGCCTAAATCGCCAAGCAAGTACCAACGTTGGGCTTTAGTTCTGATTGGTCTGTTTTTTCAAGCGACACCTTTGGGCGTTTGTTACCAAACAAGTTCCCGACTTAGGCTTCACTGCTGCTGGTCCATCCGTTCGTACTTGGCATTTTTGGCTAAAATCAGGCACTTTGGCAATTATGAAGCGAGTCAGAAAGAAGAAACGCCAAAACGAAAGTTCTCTGGTACAAACTAACACATTGGAGAAAAACCGCATTAGGGCCAAGTTTGGCACCTGTGCAGAGCGCAAGTTCGTCTGGTTCTATTGCAGGGGTGGATGAGGTCAGAGCGCCAAGTTCTGATTGGCTCTGATTGAAGGATAGTGGGTAGGTCTGAAAGAAAGCTGCCTGTAGGTCTACCAACACCACTTAGACAGAAGGCTTCCGTACGCGTCATCACAGTCAGATCGAGCGAGGCTTGAGATTGGGCACGAGTGCTGCGTCAGTGTTCGGCTGGGGCTCGTGTCCAATCAGAGCTTCGAAGGTCGGGCTCGGGCCCAAGAGCCGTGTTAGCGCCATCCGACTCTGATGACACTTCATAGAGGGAGAGGAGACCATGCGGAGGCCTTCTGTCTAGGTGGTGGTGGGTCTACCCACTATCCTTTAATTAGAAAAAATCAGAGCTCAGCGTTCTGACGTCACCTCAACCTCCGCAAAAGAAGCAGACGAACTTGCGCCCCCAATAGGATTGTCAAGCCTGTGTCATGCTAGGCGTTTTTTTCGCGGTAGGGTGTGCTACCTAGGACGGCATTTTTTTTTTGTTTTCTAATTAGGTTTCGGGGGCAGATCCAACTGGCGTCGCACTACGCTTGTGCGTCATTCAGCTGTTGACGGTTTTCACACTCACAGAAGAAGAAATGTTTGGCTTTGTTGTCTTTGTCTATGAAGCATCCGATCGCATTCCGGAAAGCCGATTGTGTCCCCTGTGACAAGTCTCTGCTGAGGCCACGCGTGAGTGAGAACATCTGTCCCGCGAAACGGGTTGGCTGTACCACATAGCGAAGAATGTTCATTCTGCTTTCTGCGTGACAGAGACTGACCTTGCCTTTGGAGGGGAATTTTACTGATAATTCTTTAATGGTTGCCTCGTTGCCGGATGCGAGGAACTGACAATAAATAGCAATGGTGGCACTTATAAAGTCTAAAAATGGCTAATCTTGGTGTTTATACAAAGTAAGCTTTGAGGTATTTGGGTGAATGATACTGTTTAAAGCATGAGTGGGATTACTTTAAAGGTGACGATAAGATATGTGTAACTTACGCTGAAACAAATGCTTTCAGCTGTTCTTTTACCCTGTTTTTGTGGAAGCGTTTACTCAGTCAGACGTTTCTTCACTGTATATGCGCTGTTTGCTTATAATGGCGGTAGAGGTATGCTTTGTCAATTTTATTTTTTTCTACTCTTCTACTCACCGGGGGCAGTGTATGAAAATAAAACATTCTTTTCTACTTTTATTTTGGTGTGCTTGTATGGGTTGCGCGGTGATCATCGCCAACAAGTGCTGGACCGTGTGATGCAAAAAAGAACTTTATTAATACGAGACCGCATCGTTTAAATATATATATATATATATATATATATATATATATATATATATATATATATACTACACAAAAAACATCAATAAAATGAAAAGGAGAAGACAAGCCCAAGCAAGAACAGGGGCCGATAAATTGTAATTAATCTTTCCACTTTGTTTAAAGAGAATATTTCCCCCCCTGTTGAGGGGAAAATATATTCTTTTAAGATGTGCAAGACGTTTATACGTAAAAAAAGACATAATCTGGCACATAAAGCAAGTGCATGTGTAACTACTCTAAAAAAGACGCCAGCATACAACAACTTTTATTAAGGCGAAAAAAGCCTTATATGTTTAATCGTTCAGTCGGCTTTCAAAAAGTCCTTGAGCGAAAACACGTCGGCGACAGGAAAGGCATCAAAACTTTTGCGTGACAACTCAAGGGAATTAGAGGCAAATAAATGAAGAAGGGTGACAAATCAAATTAAGAGGAATCAAAGTTAATTAAGAGGAATTAGAATGAATTAAGAGTAATTAAAAGCAAGTAAGAGTAATCAATGAAAATTAAGAAGGACTATAAAGCGAATAATGTCAAAAAAGGGAATGTCAAAAAAGAGAACGTGAAATAAAGTAAATCATGTGTCTGTCTTT